CCTGGAACATCCTCGACCACGATACCTCCCACGTGGTCACGGCTCTCGACGTCATCTTCTACGAAGACCTCACGATCCACAAGTTCCAGTGTGACCGACACGCCGACCGCACCAGTTGAGAGACAAACGTCACGAATTACGATCGTCCCCCGCGCAGCTTCTTCACTCCTGAAGACGAAGTGCAAGCAGCGCTTGCGGACCAGGACCCCACAGACCCACACCCCGGCCCTCGCCCATGGAGTGATGAGGACGAAGATGAGGACAGCGCTCACCTTGACTCCTCGCGGGACTCCCTGTTAGAATCTGGAAGAAAACGAGAATGAATGAACTAGCAGGAAGGTGGGTACAAGTATGAAACCCTAATTTTGTGTACCCTCTAAGGCTAAACCCACTATAGCCTACACAATATAAACATGCAATGTTTGACACACCCCCATAGGCGAAGTGGGAGACAACCAGAGGGTCACAAGACCAGTCAAAGCAAAGGAAAGCAAAGCAAGCTCAGGGTGGACCTCAAGGATACCACACAAATTCTGAGCACAAGCAAGTGGTCACAAGACCAGTCCTCATGCAGTTTGATAATATAGCAAGAGATACAGTGATCACAACCTAGCAAGTGTAAACATGCAGGTATATATATAGAGATCACAGTACAAACAGAGTCAAGAAGTAAGCAAGTGAGGTCCAGCAGGCACAAGGCCTAGAAGAGTACAGAAGCGCTGATGGTCACAAGGCTGAAGTGCCTTGGTGAACACATCAGCAGTGTTGGCCTCAGTGGCCACGTAACGCAGACGAAGCTGACCGCGCTGCTGCAGCTCTCGAGCAAGGAAGTACCGCAGGGCGATGTGCTTCGTTCTGTGCTCCAGTCTGTGCTCCTCACACAAGGCAATGGCAGCCTTGTTGTCGACGTACAGCACTGGAGGAGAACGAGGCCGCTCTCCCAAGTCGGTCAGCAGGTAGGTCAGCCAGCGTAGCTCCTGGGCCGCCATGGCTGTGGCGTAGATCTCAGCCTCACAACTGGAGCTGAGAACAGAAGAAGAGCGTGTAGAACGCCAAGAAACTGAGCCAGAGCCAAGACTGAAGGTGTAACCCTGAGACGACCGCTGAGTAGCCTGGTCGTCCGCCCAAGAAGCGTCTGAGTGACCAGTAAGTACAACTCGGTCTCGCCCTCCAAGCACTAGCCCCATGCCTGACGTACTGCACAAGTAGCGCAACACCCTCTTAGCGGCATCCATGTGCTCCTTCCGGTGACGGCCAGGAGCGACATAGCGTGCAAGGATGCTAAGAGGGTATGCAAGGTCAGGTCGAGTGCAGGTCATCAGGTACATGAGGCAGCCCACAAGCTCTGGATACGGGCCACTCGGCTCTACGGACTCATCCGAAGGCTGAGCTGAGAGCGAGTGACCGGTAGGCAGAGGAGTGGACTGAGGCGAGGAGTACGTGAAGCGGAAGCGCTGAAGGACCTGCTGCACCATGTGTGACTGAGTCAAGGTGATGGTGCGCCGTGCTCTGTCCCGGGTGATCCGCAAGCCAAGATAGCTTGTCAGTTCACCCAGGTCTGTGCACGTGTGTCTCTTCTGCAGCTCCGACTTCACGTGGGCGAGTGCCGCAGTGTCAGCAGTGGCAGTAGGAGCAGTGGCAGTGGGAGTAGAAAAGGCAGTAGCAGCAGTAGCAGCGGTAGCAGTGCTGGGCAATGCTCACCAGTGGTCGGCGCGGCAGGCGCAAGACGGTGGCGACAGCGGGGCCGCTACAACTGCAGGGCTGGGCCGGGCCGCAGCAGGGAGCTCCGCGGCAGCTGCTGCAGGGCGAGGCCGGGCCGCGACGGCAGCTGCTCCAGGTGCCAGGGGCGGCTGCTGCAGTGGCGGCTGCTCCAGGGGCCAGGGGCGGCTGCTGCAGGTGCGGGCTGCTCCAGGGGCGGCTGCTGCAGGTGCGTGCTGCTCCAGAGGGGGCTGCTGCAGTGGCGGGCGGCTCCAGGGGCGGCTGCTGCAGTGGCGAGCGGCTCCAGGGGCTGCTGCTGCAGTGGCGGGCGGCTCCAGGGGCTGCGACAGCAGTGGCGGCTGCTCCAGGGGCGAGAGGCGGATTAGGTCAGGGCGACGCGGCGAGAAGGGCGACGCCGCGGGCAGGGCGACGCGGCGGGCAGGTGGCGACGCCGCGGGCAGGGCGACGCGGCGGGCAGGTGGCGACGCCGCGGGCAGGGCGACGCGGCGGGCAGGTGGCGACGCCGCGAGTAGGGCGACGCCGCTAGCAGGTGGCGACGCCGCGGGTAGGCGACGACGCCGCGGGCAGGCGACGACGCCGCGGGCAGGCGCCGACGCCGCGGGCAGGGGACGACGCCGCGGGCAGGCGACGACGCCGCGGGCAGGCGACGACGCCGCGGGCAGGCGACGACGCCACGAGCAGGGCGACGACGCCGTGGGCAGGCGACGACGCCGCGGGCAGGCGACGACGCCGCGGGTAGGCGACGACGCCGCGGGCAGGCGACGACGCCGCGGACAGGGGCTACGACGCGGGTAGGCGACGACGCCGCGGAGAGCGCACGAGGGCGCACGAGGGCGCACGAGGGCGCACGTAAGGTAGAGCGCACGAGGGCGCACGTAAGGTAGGGCGCACGAGGGCGCACGTAAGGTAGGGCGCACGAGGGCGCTTCTAGCGGAATAGTGGGCCCATTGTAGAAAGCGGTCCTAGGTAGCAACCTAGGCTCGTGATACCATGTTAGAATCTGGAAGAGAACGAGAATGAATGAACTAGCAGGAAGGTGGGTACAAGTATGAAACCCTAAGTTTGTGTACCCTCTAAGGCTAAACCCACTATAGCCTACACAATATAAACATACAATGTTTGACACTCCCTCCTCAGTCCAACACCATCCAGCGGCCACGACTCAGACAATGACAGGGTGGAAATCACCAGCGACCAACGTCACAGCCCCGGCATTTCCGGCCTCCACATCCTCGGCCTCCACACTACCGTTTCCCACCCACCCAAGGCGGTTGAACCACAAACCCCGTGCCAAGCCCTCACGGGGCCTTACGCTAAGGAGTGGCGCGCAGCGATGGATGTCGAGGTCACCGCGCTCGAAGCTCGTAACACCTGGGTCCTCGCCACCTTAAAGGGGAGGAGCATTCTCACGGGAAAATGGGTTTTTCCGCGTCAAAACCGCCGCGACGGCACCATCGAATGCTTCAAAGCACGCTGGGTTGTCCGCGGCTTCGATCAGCGCCACGGCGTCGACTTTCGACCAAACCTTTGCTGCTGTCATTCGCCACACCTCTGTTCGTATCCTCCTCGCCATCGCAGCAGCAAAACATCTTCCGCTCCACCAAATCGACGTCAAGAATGCCTTCCTCTACGCACCAGTGGATGCGCTCATCTTCGTCGAACAGCCCCACACCTACGGCGACGGCGACGATCGCGTGTGTCAACTCCAAAAATCACTCTACGGCATCAAACAAGCCCCACGTCTCTGGCAGCAACATCTTCACCAAATCCTACTAGACATCGGATTCACTCAGCTGCCTCACGACCCCGGCATGTACCGTCTGCATTACCAAGGTGACTACATCCTCCTCACAGCCTATGTGGATGACCTGCTCTACACCGGCACCAGCAACGACCTCCTTGCGCAGTTCGAGAAAAACCTCAGCAACCGCGTCGAAATCACCAGCAACAGCTCCGTCACTCAATTCCTGGGGCTCAACATCTCCTATGCAGTTGATGCCATCCACCTCTCCGCTGCCAACTACGCCGAAAATCTCTCCACCAAATTCAACATCAAACTAGCCAACCTCTCCCCTCCTTATCGCACACCGGCCACCCCTTCCACCGCCCTTGCGAAACCACTCAACCCCTCCGACCATCGGCTGTTCCAGCAGCAACTCGGATGTCTTCTCTTCGCCGCTGTGACATGCAGGCCTGACTTGTCCTACATCGCCAGCCAGCTCGCTCAGTATGCCAAGCGGCCTGAAGGGGAGCACATGCTGGACTTACAGCGCGCACTCCAATACTTCATCTCCACACCACACATTGGCCTCACCTACTCCACTCTCATCACTCGCTCATTCAGTTTCGTTGGATACGTGGACACAGATCACGCCGCCGATCCTGTTGGTGCAACCTACGGTTTGCACTCGGCTTGTTGTCCGTGTGCGTGTGCGTGCATGCGTGTGTGTATGGAGTGGTATGAGTGCATGAAATAAATATATATTTCATGCTTATATTGTGTGTGCATGATGGGTCATGCATTGAGTGTGTGTGTGTCGAGTCAATAGCGAGTTATCGCTAGCCGCGTGTTAATGCGGTCATTTGTGTCTCGCGCGCGGTTTCTATTTTGTCGTGTGTCCCGTGCGCGGTTTCTATTTTGTCCTGTGTCGAACGTTCGGCGTGTCGCAGGTATGTGCAGCAGACCCATCAAGAACTCAAGGTTGAGTTTGTGATGAAGAACCCGAGCCTTGGTTACAAGCTTCAAGTGATTTTTCGAAGCTGGCCAAAAGGGTACACCTCAAGATATTGAAGATTGTTACATTACAATTTGTAGTGTAACATTTCTATGAGTGTAGGCCCTTGTGGAGGGTAGTTTCGAGACCCTTCTTGGTTGGGGACAGTGTGGCACTGTTCCCCATCACTGTACCTCGGTTCTTGGGGTTTGTAGGAGCTGGGAGTCCTTCCCAACTCGTAACTCTTCCTAGTGTTTAGTAATTGTTTTTCTAAGACTATGTTGCTGCCATAGTGCCGTTCGTTCAATCAGACGCTGTGTCGTCAATTTTTTATGAAATCGTGCGATCTAAATTGCCTATTGTAGAGGACGTCAAGACGCTCCAGATCCAAGTTGAATGAGGTCAATTGGAGCTGTGACCAGATCGCTATGATCGTTTAAAACCGCTGTGCAGAAATCTGACTGCGCACTCTATCTTTCGTTTTAGGCACATTGAAGCCTACTGTGACTATAACAAGTGGTATCAGAGCCCCTTGGAGCAGCTACGACGATGGCTGGACCTAAAGAGATGGGTGGCAGAGGTGCTGGAGGCAATGGAGAAGCCCAAGCACAAGGCCAAGCCCGTGAGTCAGCCATGGCGTCCGTGCAACCGACTCTTGGACCCTCCAAGGACGAACCAAGAGTGTTCGGCCTCGACAAGTTCAACGGTGACAACTTTGCTGAGTGGTCCTTCAGGATGGAGAATGTGTTCGACCATTATGACCTGCTGGAGGTGATGGAAGGAACGGAGAAGCGTCCCGAGAACGACCCGGAGAAGAGCCCGTGGGTGCGGAAGAGCGCACAAGGCTATCTCCTACTTGGGCAAGCGTTGGGGAGCAACCAGATCCGTCACATCAAGCCTTTTCAGCGTGAACCAGAGAAGGGACCTAAAGCATGGGCTGCTCTCAAGGGTGTACACGCTCCTGCAACAGCGGCGGTAGCTGTGGTGTTGGAACGGCAAATGGCGACACTACGGATTGAAGAAGATGAACCCGTGGAAGAAGGGGTGCAGAAATTCTTCGACTTGTTGACGCGGCTTGAGGGAGCTGATTTGAACTACAGTGAACTCCAGAAGAAGACCAAGTTGCTGGCCCTACTCCCCGAGTCATGGTCCTCGCTCATCATCAATTTAAATCGTGATCTGCCCCGCCTCTCGCTTGAAGACGTGAAGCGAGCGATCCTACAAGAGGACTTCCGCCGCCGTGAGTTGGCGAGTGCGGATGGCGCTGGTGCAGCGAGCGTCGGCCGTGGATATGGCCGAGGAAGAGGCAGAGGACGAGGGGGAGGAAGATTTGGTGGCAGCAACTTCGGCGGAGGCCGCGGGAGTGGCGGATACGGCAGCGACGACAAGAGCTACGGGCGCGGTCGCGGCCGATTCGATGGCGAGTGTCACTATTGCGGCAAGAGCGGACATATGTGGCGCGATTGCTTCAAACTCCCTGAAGGATGGACCCCTGCTCAAGGCCAAGAGGGTGGAGGAGCAGGAGGAGGGAGAGGCAGAGGCCGTGGAGGCCGCGGCGGTCGCGGAGGTGGAGCCGCGAACATGAAGAACGAAGATAACGACAAGGACCCGAGCGGCGATCGATACCCGGGTCTTTTCTACTTTGTGTCGACGCAAGTACCGGCTGGTCCAGAGAAGGATGAAGACCTTGAGGAGCCAGCAGCTGTGGGGAAGGTGACCCTACACCCCCTGGACTTTTGGGTGATCGACAGCGGAGCTACCTATAGCATGACACCTCGCCCCGACTTGCTCACCGAACTTGAGCCGTCACCGGTGAAGCATGTGACATCGGCTTTGGGGCAGCGAGCAGAGGTGAAAGGCATGGGCAAGGCCATGTTCAAGGGTGCTGATGGGAAGATGGTGGGCCTCAAGAACGTGCTTTGGGTGCCCAGCCTTGCTGCAAACCTGATTTCCGTGCGGCGGTTGGCGAAGGCCGGCATGGACACGAACTCGAAGGGAGCCAAGACTTACACCGCGAGGATTGGCGACCGGATTCTATGGGACCTTCATGAAGACAGGGACGTCTACAATGAGATGTGGCAGATCCCTGTGGTCCCTATGCCTAAGGAGAGGCAAGTGGCAGCAAGCATCAGTGCTAAAGGTGAAGCGGTTGGTAGCGGCGATGGCGCGAACGGTCGCGCAAAGGAGAACGAGCTCATGAAGAGCAAACCTGGAGAAACCAGCAAGCTCGGTGACCACAAGGAGAGTGGTGCAGCAGCTAAGGAGCAACACAAGGGTGAGGAGAACCCCAAGGCAGCAGCGAAGGAGGAGTACGGAGAGAGTATGTGGGGCGCTATTGCGAGCGCGGCATTCTCCAACCCGACTTCGGCTACGGGGGAGTGTGATTGGCTCACCTTGCATCGGCGAATGGGGCATGTGGCCCTACCCATCTTGCAGCAGCTAGTGAAGAATGAGATGGTTGCTGGCATACGTGTGAAGGGGGAGCCCGATGAGGTGCTTGGCTGCCCAACGTGCTTGCAAGCCAAGTTCACCCGTTTTCCGTTCCCTAGTTCGGAGGCAACGGCTAAGGCACCACTTGATGAGGTGGTGATGGACGTGGTGGGCCCCCTTAAACTTGGAGCTGCTGGAGCAGAGTACTTCCTCACCATTGTGGATGTCTACACTCGCATGACGTGGGTGTACGTGCTGGCCAAGAAGAGTGACGTGGCTGAAACTTTGAAGACCGATTGGTTCCCGATGGTGGAGCGGCAACAAGACCGACTTGTGAAGTCGATCCGCACCGATCGTGGGGGAGAGTTCCTGAGCAAGGAGTTTGGGTTGTGGCTGAAGAAGAATGGCATTCGGCACTCCCTCACCATGCCATACTCCCCTGCAATGAACGGCATCGCCGAGAGGGCGAACCGCACGATAACGGAGGCGGCACGCGGGTTGCTAATTGAAGCCGGGCTACCCGACTACTTCTGGCCTGATGCGGTGCGGAGCACGTGCGTGGCCAAGAACAGAGTTTTGACTCATGTGGGAGCAGATAAATGGGTGCCCTATGTGGAGTGGCTTGGCAGGAAGCCAAAGGTGGATATGCTTCGGGTGTTCGGGTGCATGTGCATGGCGCTCGTACCCAAGCATCTTCGGCACAACAAGCTTGGTGCTAAGGCGGTGTGGGCCGTGCACTTGGGCATGGCTCAAAACAGCAAGGGGTGGCTTCTTTGGGATCCGTTCACCAAGAAGTTCATGGTGAGCAGGGACTGCAAGTTCATGGAGAACTTCATGTACAAGGATTGGAAGGCGGAGAATGAGGCGAAGATAGGCGTGCGGTTTGGGGAGGTGAAGAGTTCCGGCTTGGAGTACGTGGAGCTGCCATTGGAACTGAGCAGCGGCAGCACCACCACAAGGCAATCTTCCCTTGTGAATGGGGGAGAGGAGGCCAAGGATGCAGAGGAAGAGGAGGAGGAGGAGGTGCAGCAAGTGAGCGAGCGTGCACCGACACTCCCTTCCCGCACTACGAGTGCTCCACGGAACCGAGCTACACCGCAGCAACGCCAAGGCCTTCAAGTCCCTGCAGCTGAGGAGGAAGGAAGGGTCAAGAGGAAGATTCAAGCCCCTAATAGGCTGACCTATGATGCGCCGGGGAAGCAGGGCAAGACGGCCCTAGCTGGAGCGGCAATGATGGTTGGAGACGACGAGGAGAGTGATTACGAGGAGTGTGCCTTCGCGTTCTTCTCTCCGGTGGAGATGCCGGGAGAACCAGCAACTCTCATGTTGGTGCAACCTACGGTTTGCACTCGGCTTGTTGTCCGTGTGCGTGTGCGTGCATGCGTGTGTGTATGGAGTGGTATGAGTGCATGAAATAAATATATATTTCATGCTTATATTGTGTGTGCATGATGGGTCATGCATTGAGTGTGTGTGTGTGTCGAGTCAATAGCGAGTTATCGCTAGCCGCGTGTTAATGCGGTCATTTGTGTCTCGCGCGCGGTTTCTATTTTGTCGTGTGTCCCGTGCGCGGTTTCTATTTTGTCCTGTGTCGAACGTTCGGCGTGTCGCAGGTGTGTGCAGCAGACCCATCAAGAACTCAAGGTTGAGTTTGTGATGAAGAACCCGAGCCTTGGTTACAAGCTTCAAGTGATTTTTCGAAGCTGGCCAAAAGGGTACACCTCAAGATATTGAAGATTGTTACATTACAATTTGTAGTGTAACATTTCTATGAGTGTAGGCCCTTGTGGAGGGTAGTTTCGAGACCCTTCTTGGTTGGGGACAGTGTGGCACTGTTCCCCATCACTGTACCTCGGTTCTTGGGGTTTGTAGGAGCTGGGAGTCCTTCCCAACTCGTAACTCTTCCTAGTGTTTAGTAATTGTTTTTCTAAGACTATGTTGCTGCCATAGTGCCGTTCGTTCAATCAGACGCTGTGTCGTCAATTTTTATGAAATCGTGCGATCTAAATTGCCTATTGTAGAGGACGTCAAGACGCTCCAGATCCAAGTTGAATGAGGTCAATTGGAGCTGTGACCAGATCGCTATGATCGTTTAAAACCGCTGTGCAGAAATCTGACTGCGCACTCTATCTTTCGTTTTAGGCACATTGAAGCCTACTGTGACTATAACAAGTGGTATCAGAGCCCCTTGGAGCAGCTACGACGATGGCTGGACCTGAAGAGAGGGGTGGCAGAGGTGCTGGAGGCAATGGAGAAGCCCAAGCACAAGGCCAAGCCCGTGAGTCAGCCATGGCGTCCGTGCAACCGACTCTTGGACCCTCCAAGGACGAAGCAAGAGTGTTCGGCCTCGACAAGTTCAACGGTGACAACTTTGCTGAGTGGTCCTTCAGGATGGAGAATGTGTTCGACCATTATGACCTGCTGGAGGTGATGGAAGGAACGGAGAAGCGTCCCGAGAACGACCCGGAGAAGAGCCCGTGGGTGCGGAAGAGCGCACAAGGCTATCTCCTACTTGGGCAAGCGTTGGGGAGCAACCAGATCCGTCACATCAAGCCTTTTCAGCGTGAACCAGAGAAGGGACCTAAAGCATGGGCTGCTCTCAAGGGTGTACACGCTCCTGCAACAGCGGCGGTAGCTGTGGTGTTGGAACGGCAAATGGCGACACTACGGATTGAAGAAGATGAACCCGTGGAAGAAGGGGTGCAGAAATTCTTCGACTTGTTGACGCGGCTTGAGGGAGCTGATTTGAACTACAGTGAACTCCAGAAGAAGACCAAGTTGCTGGCCCTACTCCCCGAGTCATGGTCCTCGCTCATCATCAATTTAAATCGTGATCTGCCCCGCCTCTCGCTTGAAGACGTGAAGCGAGCGATCCTACAAGAGGACTTCCGCCGCCGTGAGTTGGCGAGTGCGGATGGCGCTGGTGCAGCGAGCGTCGGCCGTGGATATGGCCGAGGAAGAGGCAGAGGACGAGGGGGAGGAAGATTTGGTGGCAGCAACTTCGGCGGAGGCCGCGGGAGTGGCGGATACGGCAGCGACGACAAGAGCTACGGGCGCGGTCGCGGCCGATTCGATGGCGAGTGTCACTATTGCGGCAAGAGCGGACATATGTGGCGCGATTGCTTCAAACTCCCTGAAGGATGGACCCCTGCTCAAGGCCAAGAGGGTGGAGGAGCAGGAGGAGGGAGAGGCAGAGGCCGTGGAGGCCGCGGCGGTCGCGGAGGTGGAGCCGCGAACATGAAGAACGAAGATAACGACAAGGACCCGAGCGGCGATCGATACCCGGGTCTTTTCTACTTTGTGTCGACGCAAGTACCGGCTGGTCCAGAGAAGGATGAAGACCTTGAGGAGCCAGCAGCTGTGGGGAAGGTGACCCTACACCCCCTGGACTTTTGGGTGATCGACAGCGGAGCTACCTATAGCATGACACCTCGCCCCGACTTGCTCACCGAACTTGAGCCGTCACCGGTGAAGCATGTGACATCGGCTTTGGGGCAGCGAGCAGAGGTGAAAGGCATGGGCAAGGCCATGTTCAAGGGTGCTGATGGGAAGATGGTGGGCCTCAAGAACGTGCTTTGGGTGCCCAGCCTTGCTGCAAACCTGATTTCCGTGCGGCGGTTGGCGAAGGCCGGCATGGACACGAACTCGAAGGGAGCCAAGACTTACACCGCGAGGATTGGCGACCGGATTCTATGGGACCTTCATGAAGACAGGGACGTCTACAATGAGATGTGGCAGATCCCTGTGGTCCCTATGCCTAAGGAGAGGCAAGTGGCAGCAAGCATCAGTGCTAAAGGTGAAGCGGTTGGTAGCGGCGATGGCGCGAACGGTCGCGCAAAGGAGAACGAGCTCATGAAGAGCAAACCTGGAGAAACCAGCAAGCTCGGTGACCACAAGGAGAGTGGTGCAGCAGCTAAGGAGCAACACAAGGGTGAGGAGAACCCCAAGGCAGCAGCGAAGGAGGAGTACGGAGAGAGTATGTGGGGCGCTATTGCGAGCGCGGCATTCTCCAACCCGACTTCGGCTACGGGGGAGTGTGATTGGCTCACCTTGCATCGGCGAATGGGGCATGTGGCCCTACCCATCTTGCAGCAGCTAGTGAAGAATGAGATGGTTGCTGGCATACGTGTGAAGGGGGAGCCCGATGAGGTGCTTGGCTGCCCAACGTGCTTGCAAGCCAAGTTCACCCGTTTTCCGTTCCCTAGTTCGGAGGCAACGGCTAAGGCACCACTTGATGAGGTGGTGATGGACGTGGTGGGCCCCCTTAAACTTGGAGCTGCTGGAGCAGAGTACTTCCTCACCATTGTGGATGTCTACACTCGCATGACGTGGGTGTACGTGCTGGCCAAGAAGAGTGACGTGGCTGAAACTTTGAAGACCGATTGGTTCCCGATGGTGGAGCGGCAACAAGACCGACTTGTGAAGTCGATCCGCACCGATCGTGGGGGAGAGTTCCTGAGCAAGGAGTTTGGGTTGTGGCTGAAGAAGAATGGCATTCGGCACTCCCTCACCATGCCATACTCCCCTGCAATGAACGGCATCGCCGAGAGGGCGAACCGCACGATAACGGAGGCGGCACGCGGGTTGCTAATTGAAGCCGGGCTACCCGACTACTTCTGGCCTGATGCGGTGCGGAGCACGTGCGTGGCCAAGAACAGAGTTTTGACTCATGTGGGAGCAGATAAATGGGTGCCCTATGTGGAGTGGCTTGGCAGGAAGCCAAAGGTGGATATGCTTCGGGTGTTCGGGTGCATGTGCATGGCGCTTGTACCCAAGCATCTTCGGCACAACAAGCTTGGTGCTAAGGCGGTGTGGGCCGTGCACTTGGGCATGGCTCAAAACAGCAAGGGTGGCTTCTTTGAGATCCGTTCACCAAGAAGTTCATGGTGAGCAAGGACTGCAAGTTCATGGAGAACTTCATGTACAAGGATTGGAAGGCGGAGAATGAGGCGATGAGGCGCGATAGGCGTGCGGTTTGGGGAGGTGAAGAGTTCCGGCTTGGAGCACGTGGAGCTGCCATTGGAACTGAGCAGCGGCAGCACCACCACAAGGCAATCTTCCCTTGTGAATGGGGGAGAGGAGGCCAAGGATGCAGAGGAAGAGGAGGAGGAGGAGGTGCAGCAAGTGAGCGAGCGTGCACCGACACTCCCTTCCCGCACTACGAGTGCTCCACGGAACCGAGCTACACCGCAGCAACGCCAAGGCCTTCAAGTCCCTGCAGCTGAGGAGGAAGGAAGGGTCAAGAGGAAGATTCAAGCCCCTAATAGGCTGACCTATGATGCGCCGGGGAAGCAGGGCAAGACGGCCCTAGCTGGAGCGGCAATGATGGTTGGAGACGACGAGGAGAGTGATTACGAGGAGTGTGCCTTCGCGTTCTTCTCTCTGGTGGAGATGCCGGGAGAACCAGCAACTCTCATGTTGGTGCAACCTACGGTTTGCACTCGGCTTGTTGTCCGTGTGCGTGTGCGTGCATGCGTGTGTGTATGGAGTGGTATGAGTGCATGAAATAAATATATATTTCATGCTTATATTGTGTGTGCATGATGGGTCATGCATTGAGTGTGTGTGTGTGTCGAGTCAATAGCGAGTTATTGCTAGCCGCGTGTTAATGCGGTCATTTGTGTCTCGCGCGCGTTTTCTATTTGTCGTGTGTCCCGTGCGCGGTTTCTATTTTGTCCTGTGTCGAACGTTCGGCGTGTCGCAGGTGTGTGCAGCAGACCCATCAAGAACTCAAGGTTGAGTTTGTGATGAAGAACCCGAGCCTTGGTTACAAGCTTCAAGTGATTTTTCGAAGCTGGCCAAAAGGGTACACCTCAAGATATTGAAGACAGTTACATTACAATTTGTAGTGTAACATTTCTATGAGTGTAGGCCCTTGTGGAGGGTAGTTTCGAGACCCTTCTTGGTTGGGGACAGTGTGGCACTGTTCCCCATCACTGTACCTCGGTTCTTGGGGTTGTAGGTGCTGGGAGTCCTCCCAAACTCGTAACTCTTCCTAGTGTTTAGTAATTGTTTTTCTAAGACTATGTTGCTGCCATAGTGCCGTTCGTTCATCAGACGCTGTGTCGTCAATTCTTGATGAAATCGTGCGATCTAAATTGCCTATTGTAGAGGACGTCAAGACGCTCCAGATCCAAGTTGAATGAGGTCGATTGGAGCTGTGACCAGATCGCTATGATCGTTTAAAACCGCTGTGCAGAAATCTGACTGCGCACTCTATCTTTCGTTTTAGGCACATTGAAGCCTACTGTGACTATAACAAGTGGTATCAGAGCCCCTTGGAGCAGCTACGACGATGGCTGGACCTGAAGAGAGGGGTGGCAGAGGTGCTGGAGGCAATGGAGAAGCCCAAGCACAAGGCCAAGCCCGTGAGTCAGCCATGGCGTCCGTGCAACCGACTCTTGGACCCTCCAAGGACGAACCAAGAGTGTTCGGCCTCGACAAGTTCAACGGTGACAACTTTGCTGAATGGTCCTTCAGGATGGAGAATGTGTTCGACCATTATGACCTGCTGGAGGTGATGGAAGACCGAGAAGCGTCCCGAGAACGACCCGGAGAAGAGCCCGTGGGTGCGGAAGAGCGCACAAGGCTATCTCCTACTTGGGCAAGCGTTGGGGAGCAACCAGATCCGTCACATCAAGCCTTTTCAGCGTGAACCAGAGAAGGGACCTAAAGCATGGGCTGCTCTCAAGGGTGTACACGCTCCTGCAACAGCGGCGGTAGCTGTGGTGTTGGAACGGCAAATGGCGACACTACGGATTGAAGAAGATGAACCCGTGGAAGAAGGGGTGCAGAAATTCTTCGACTTGTTGACGCGGCTTGAGGGAGCTGATTTGAACTACAGTGAACTCCAGAAGAAGACCAAGTTGCTGGCCCTACTCCCCGAGTCATGGTCCTCGCTCATCATCAATTTAAATCGTGATCTGCCCCGCCTCTCGCTTGAAGACGTGAAGCGAGCGATCCTACAAGAGGACTTCCGCCGCCGTGAGTTGGGAAGTGCGGATGGCGCTGGTGCAGCGAGCGTCGGCCGTGGATATGGCCGAGGAAGAGGCAGAGGACGAGGGGGAGGAAGATTTGGTGGCAGCAACTTCGGCGGAGGCCGCGGGAGTGGCGGATACGGCAGCGACGACAAGAGCTACGGGCGCGGTCGCGGCCGATTCGATGGCGAGTGTCACTATTGCGGCAAGAGCGGACATATGTGGCGCGATTGCTTCAAACTCCCTGAAGGATGGACCCCTGCTCAAGGCCAAGAGGGTGGAGGAGCAGGAGGAGGGAGAGGCAGAGGCCGTGGAGGCCGCGGCGGTCGCGGAGGTGGAGCCGCGAACATGAAGAACGAAGATAACGACAAGGACCCGAGCGGCGATCGATACCCGGGTCTTTTCTACTTTGTGTCGACGCAAGTACCGGCTGGTCCAGAGAAGGATGAAGACCTTGAGGAGCCAGCAGCTGTGGGGAAGGTGACCCTACACCCCCTGGACTTTTGGGTGATCGACAGCGGAGCTACCTATAGCATGACACCTCGCCCCGACTTGCTCACCGAACTTGAGCCGTCACCGGTGAAGCATGTGACATCGGCTTTGGGGCAGCGAGCAGAGGTGAAAGGCATGGGCAAGGCCATGTTCAAGGGTGCTGATGGGAAGATGGTGGGCCTCAAGAACGTGCTTTGGGTGCCCAGCCTTGCTGCAAACCTGATTTCCGTGCGGCGGTTGGCGAAGGCCGGCATGGACACGAACTCGAAGGGAGCCAAGACTTACACCGCGAGGATTGGCGACCGGATTCTATGGGACCTTCATGAAGACAGGGACGTCTACAATGAGATGTGGCAGATCCCTGTGGTCCCTATGCCTAAGGAGAGGCAATGGCATCATGGCAGCAGCAAGCATCAGTGCTAAGCGTGAGCGGTTTGGTGGTAGCGGCGATGGCGCGAACGGTCGCGCAAAGGAGAACGAGCTCATGAAGAGCAAACCTGGAGAAACCAGCAAGCTCGGTGACCACAAGGAGAGTGGCTGCAGGCCTAAGGAGCAACACAAGGGTGAGGAGAACCCCAAGGCAGCAGCGAAGGAGGAGTACGGAGAGAGTATGTGGGGCGCTATTGCGAGCGCGGCATTCTCCAACCCGACTTCGGCTACGGGGGAGTGTGATTGGCTCACCTTGCATCGGCGAATGGGGCATGTGGCCCTACCCATCTTGCAGCAGCTAGTGAAGAATGAGATGGTTGCTGGCATACGTGTGAAGGGGGAGCCCGATGAGGTGCTTGGCTGCCCAACGTGCTTGCAAGCCAAGTTCACCCGTTTTCCGTTCCCTAGTTCGGAGGCAACGGCTAAGGCACCACTTGATGAGGTGGTGATGGGACGTGGGGGCCCCTTAAACTTGGAGCTGCTGGAGCAGAGTACTTCCTCACCATTGTGGATGTCTACACTCGCATGACGTGGGTGTACGTGCTGGCCAAGAAGAGTGACGTGGCTGAAACTTTGAAGACCGATTGGTTCCCGATG